GACCTTACTGGCTTTCTTTAGGCCAGGTGTTACAGGCATGATGTTAGCAGCGGTAACATCAGTGACGTTAGCTGTGCTCCTCAGACACGGGAGCGTGGCTGTTCTACACAACAGCCTTCAGCTGGAAGAGATTCCCATGTCTGAATGCTGACCTGCTGTTTATTTGTCTGTTAAACTCAGGATACAGTATAAGCATAGCCTGCATGTTCTGGGGATACCATTTAGTGGTACAGACAAGGAGGGAACATCTTTTAAGACATCATGTTAACTTCCAAGAAAAATTGGTAATGTAGAGAAGCAAAAGACAATGAGCCTGCTGGAAGCAGGTCACAGCATGGTATTTGCCCCCCCCAGTTAACAAATTAGAGGGAATCAAACAGTTGTTTTAAGGCAAAACCTAGCCTTGCTAATAATCCATATCACAGATGCACGACATTAACTTTCATTCTGCATTGTTTATAAAAGAGAAAAAACTTATCAAGACAGTCTGAAACACAACCGTCTATCCAATTACTGTATTTTGAATTGTGAAAGAATATTAAAGCTGGAACATTTCCAGCAAGAAATAAGTGCCTCCTAAATGCAAAGGCAATGCTGCAGCTGATGCCAAACCACTTGCTGTTAGCTAACCGAGTGTTATGACATCCAAACTATGTTTGAACGAAAGTTAATTCCTTTGGGGAACTGAAATCTCTTTTACTCCCTAGACATTTTGCATTTTACCCATCTCCACAATTAGGTGTTTTACAACATAGCAAATCGTCTCAAAGAAGAACTGAGGAATTTAATGCCAGGCGCGAAAAAGAGCACAGGCAGACAAAAGCATATCCAGGGAACTGAAACAATGTCAAAAATATCAGAAAACAAGAACTCATCAGTGTTGCAAAGAATTAAGATAAAGATATTTTAAAGCCTTTTGCTTAAACATATAAAAGTCAAGGTTAACAAAACTACCTCTGCTTTTGCAAGCAGAACCATGAAGCGAGCCCGAAGGGCAACATACAGCAAATTAAATCTGATTTTTAAATCTATATTTTTTTCCCTTAGAAAAAAAAAAATTACTATTACATAAATGCAAAATATCAAATCAGGTCTTCAGGATAAATTTTTCCAAAGAGAAAATGCCAAGTTCTTTCTAGTCAGAAACATAGCTGCGTACTTTGCCAGATAACGGAGTGATATTTCAGTGCTCTTCTCTGAAGAAATCACAAAGTTAAACAAGTTTTCTCTTCTTTCCTCTCGCAGACTTATATTTAGCTGATTATTTCCTTTTTTTTGTATGCCAACATTACTGATATCAGAACAGATGTGTTAATTTGTGCCTTTCTGATAGTTACTAATTGAAGATGGCCAGTTTTGGTTTTAGGTTTATTTAATGTGAAAAAGTTAATTCTAAGGCAATTTTTCCCACTAAGAACTACACTGTTTGACAATATCAAATTTGTAAACTTAAATTATTTGACAGTGTCCCTTGAAATTAAATATCTGAGGCCAGGGAGCACAAAGACGGTTTAGTTAAAGTAAATGGCTAACTCGGTATGACATACAGAAAGGTACCCTCCCTCCACCCTCTCACCCAATTAACACACATTTATTTAAGCATCTTACATAAACTCCTGTCCCAGTGACTGTTCCTCCTACAATTAAGTATAACAATAGGTTGCTGCCAGCTTTGCCAGGAACACCTGAAGACGTCAGTGATCTAGAAGGGCATCTTAGATGATGACATTGCAAAACTGTAGGTGAAGACAGGCAATGAAAGAGGAGAGGGAAAGAGCTGAATATTAAGAAGGACTCTTGATTAAACAGATCTTGGGAAAAGCAGAATGTGCTTTGTAATTTCAGTTACCTTGTTTGTCAAAAAAAGTACAGCAGGGCACACTAAAGAATATTTAAAGGGAATAGGAAAAGACTTTTCCTCCATGCACTGTTTTGAATTTTTTTTTTTTATTTCCTAGGAGCCTTCTGCATGTGAAGAGTTTCATTAGGAGAAAACCAGGACTTGGAACTTTTAATGAATATGAGCCTCTAAGAGAAAGAATTTTGAAACAAAGATTTGTGTGATGTAAGCTCACCCATCCACTCCTAGGTAACGCTGCTACTCCTCAGCTGTTTGGGAATGTGATTTACTCTCCAAGTCAGGCTGAAAAGCTTTATGCTTTTGAGTAGGACATAAATGTATGCTCACCAATTTTGGGTTGATTTGGTATACTTACACAAGCTAAACACTAACGTTCTGAATTGAGATTTGGCAAAGAATGGTTTACTGTGGTATTAAAAGCACATGCCATCCAACTCTCCCTGAACTATATGCTACTATCACGTACAAGACAGCAGACAGAGCTGTGGTTCGTCATAGTATGGAGGAAAAAAAAAAAAAGAGTGCCTTTACTGTAAAGAAACCTAAAAGGTAACTGAAATTACAGTTTAAAAAAAAAAAAACATAAGAATTTAATTTCCAGCCAGCTCAGTTAGCTCCCCTTGAAGTTTTCTGAAGGAGGAAACCGCTACAGAGATAAAAAGCTAAGTAAAGTTAGCTGAAATACAGCAAATGCTTGACAGGAGAGATGTATTGCAGCTCTTTCTACCTTTCTACTTACATAGGCACCCGCTCCTAATGTTGATAAGCCCACAATAAGGACAAAAACAGAACTATCGCCTTTGCCCCCGGGCACACCAGAGCTAGCCACTTGTCTGCTCATCTGCAGTTTTATGGGAACATTCCAGCGCTGCAACAAGTTGCCTAAGGAATACAATTTATTAGAGAAAAACACAAAAAGACTGTCAATACAAAGTCACGTTTTGAAATTTAGAGACCAAGTAATTTCTGAAACCAAGTAAACAAGCTACTTGTTTGAAAAGCCCAGTACCACATCTGAGTGACTGTAGTGAATTATTCTCTGCCACAACAAACGGCTCCAGGCAGTTGTGGATACCAAAAACGTCTGTAAGATCAAAGAGTAACTGAACAAATTAATAGCGGGAACATCTATTAGGAAGCTAGAAAGACTACCTCCGGCTGAAGGAGCCTTCAAGCCACACATCGCTGGGAGGCTACACCAGAGATGCGCATGTACTGCGCATTTGCTGTTCTTACACCCTTCGACAGAAGAGGCCTGGAGGAGGCAGGCGCTGGTCTAAAGATGCACTTTGCTCCACCACGTGCGAGCAGAGGCTAACTTAACCTCATTAGGACACGCAGCAGGTATGGTTATACCAGCAAAAAGCCCCTTTGCCAGCACAGCTTATTCCACTGAGGTGAACTACCAGAAGAAAGAGGCTTCTGCTGACAGAAAGGGCATCCCAAATGAAGAGGAGTAGCGAGGTTTGCCAATCCAGATGAAGGCATCTACCAGCGTGCAAGCAAGACAAAGAGCGCATCTAGCTGAACAGCTACGTAACATTTCATTTCACTGTGGTTTAGTCACAGACTCCCGCCTGTCCCAATTAGATCTCTAAATAGAGCAATCACCGTCACTGCCCCGAGCGCTGCGTTTGTAACACAGCCGGCCAGCTGAAGCCTGCAGAAGTGGTTGGGCTTTTCTGCAGAACGTATTCCCACCCGACGCAGAAAACACCTCCCGCCTCCTCCGGTACCCAGATGACATGCAAACTGCTATACCCCTTTGATCTCTTTGCCTAGACGCACGTACTTGTGATATAAACCCGCAGCGAAATCACGAGCATCCGAACGGATACAAATATGCTAAATGGCTCCATCTAACTTATGGTTTCCCAGAACACAGGAGTTTTTCCCTCCCGTTCCCGGGAGCTGAGCACCTGCACCTCCAGCACCCCCTCAGCGCCCCGGCTCCATTCCATCACCACGCCGTTTTTCACCCACAAGCCTTCTCCGATGTGGCTGGCGGTGGAGCCGAGCAGTCCGTCCCGCCGGTGCACCAAGGGCAGAGCAACGCCCCGCGCCGACTTCGCCGCCAAAAGCGTTTTTATCCCATTACCTCCGAATTCGGCAGCGCCCAACGCCGCTGGAACGGCGGTCCGGGTGCCCTCTGCCCGGCTAACGGGACCCGAGAGACTCCGAGCAAGCCGCGGCTTTGGAAAACCGCGGTTCCCGACGGCG